CTCTAAAGCTGGGGTCCCAAACTTGTGGCCCGGGGACAGTACCAGCGGTGGCCCCGGAGACCCCTGCAGTAAAACGTGGACGTAGCTCCCAGCGCTAAAACGTAAAGCTGCATTCTTTCTAATGGCCAGCAGGAGGCGACTCAACTGTCTGGCCTCTGGTTTGGTCTGAGAAAAGAGCTTCACGCTCGCTCATTAGACACCTTCCTGATCAGCTCAGAGACTTGATCGCTCATGTCAAGTCTTACTGAGCACAACATCAAGTTCCTTTTGGTGGCAGAGCAGGTCAGCCACTTATCAGAAGGTCGGTGGTTCGATCCCAGGCTGCCTCCGGGCTGCGTGCCAAATATCCTTGGGCAAGAGACTAACCCCATGTTTGCTGGTGGTGGTCAGAGGGCCCGGTGGCACCAGTGTCAGTGCGCCCCAGGGTGGCTGTGGTTACAATGTAGCTGCCATCACCAGTGTGTGAATGTGTGTGTGAATGGGTGGATGACTGAATGTAAAGCGCTTTGGGGTCCTTAGGGACCAAGTAAAGCACTACACAGACCATTTACCATTTTCATTTTGTGAATTTGACCCCTGCTGGAGAGAAAAGGGGCTAAAACAAGGTGGTCACTGGTCCCTCAGTGTCACGCCAAACATCAAAGCACCAAAAAAGGCCTAACCGCCAGCTCTCATGGCTACATCGATCCTTTATACACAACACGTTTGCCACACATCCACTGCAGCGCTGAACTTGTGGACATCACTTTCAGAGGCGATGTAAGAACACAATTACCCGACAGAGCGAGTCTGACTGCACTCATTTGCTCCAGTGTGAGAATAGAACAGGTAATAGCACAGATAATGCCCACTCGCTACGCACCAGGCTGCCTCACGCTCTGTCCAGGCAGCAGCCTCGCCCGACCACACTGAGCATTTCCAGCAGTGAGAATGTGACTGAAGTGGACCATTTCCTGTTGTGTTTCATGTGAGGAGGGAACATTGAAGAAACTATTCCAACCTGGGTTTTCCAAAACTGCTCAGAGGATATAAAAATAACTCAGTTTGAAGCTCAAACCGTTAAAAAAGCTCAAACGTAATGGAAGCGTGATATTTCTACTGATTTCACGTGTTAATGCTGCAGCTCTGTCACTGTTCATGACGACGACATCGCTCCAGCAGCACCAAAGCTGATGTGTGTGTGTCGTCATTTATTTCATCATTGTATCATTTATTTAGATTTCAAAGGAACAAAGACACAAGACAATCTGACACACACACACACACACACACACACACACACACACACACACACACACGGTCTGTAGCAAAGTCAGAAGGAATCGAGCTCCTACTGTGTAACTAAACTTTTCCAGTTTAGCCAAGCCTCAAGCATCTGCAGGATTTTCAGATTTTTCTGGATGGATGGTGTTTCCACTCAGTACGTTTTCCTTTTTTAGCCACAAAATCAAAAATGCATAAAACAAGTGGACGGAAGTTCACCTGGAGGATCTGAGAGAAACAAACGCACACACACACACACACACACACACAGGTCACACAGTGGCAAAGTCAGCAGGAAACGAGCTCATATTGCACAACTGATCCTTCACTTGACCCAGCGACCTCACGCCTCCTCACTGACGCTCCAGGTGATGTCTGAAAATCAAAGCCATGAAGCGAAGGGACCGGACGAATAAAATGTCAGGAATATGTTTAACACAGCAGCCGGGGAAAAAGAGAGTCTCATTTACCATGCATGGGTTATCAAATGCAAAGCTGGAAGTCAAAGTCACACGCTGCACTGGCCTCTCAAAGGCTAATCCCACCCCGCATGTCCCCAGTACGAACTCCAGCTTTAAGTGTACAGAAGTGGAGCAAAGACTTATTATTTCATTTATTGGACTTTTTGGGGTAATTGGAAATCTGTCCAACTTCTAAAAGTGTTTAATCCAAGTCTAATTCAATCCATTCACATTAGTTTATAATAAATAAGTACGTCTGTGAAAGATCACCAGTGGTGAATGTCAAATCTGGCAACGTTTTGGCATTAAAAATAAAACCAGGATGGAAATCTGAAGGATTTCTGAGGCTGTGAAAGCACCGATGACCCAAATCCATCTGATTTCTGCTTCCACGTTTTCTTTATATGCAGACACACAGGCCTTTTTAAGAGTTTGTATTTTACACACTAATTGGCATCTTGGCAGAGAGGACGAATGAGAGCAGGAGAGAAAACAAGCAGTCACGTTGATTTAAGCCAAAGATGGAGAGAGGGGCGGGGAGGCAACGAGCAGAGAGAGATGAAGAGAGATAAAAGTGGCAGAGGGACAGAGAGCGAGGACCGTCAACTCAAAAACGGCAGTGGCACTGATAAAAGCAGAGGGATGGATGGTGGGGCACGAAGAGGAGAGAAGAACAAAGAAGGTGGAGATAGACGAGGAGGAGGAGTCAGACAGACCCAGAAAATTTGGCTCAGGAAAGAAAAGGAAACGGAGACAAGGCCCAGATGATTCCTGATGTTGTTACAGCTCAGTTAGAAATCACCTCCACCCGTGTGTGGGAGCACACATCCACCGAGTCCATGTGGGGCTGACATGTTAAACACATGCTGAATCGGAGCAATTTTAAGTAAAACAAGCTCACCGATTGGACGGTTTTAGTGACATAATCAGCGTCAGAAGTCCAGGACCAGTGTTGATATATTCCATTCTTTACGTGGTTATCTGCTACAAAATGAACCTCCAGGAGTGAAGGATGAAACCAGAAACTGCAGTTCCTCTAACGTCCACTCGAGGCTCCAGCCCTGAGTCAGTCTCCAGATAGACTCAAATGAAAACGGGTATCAGCTTTGCTGATAATTGATCCATAATGCTGAGATCTTTCCTCTTGCTTGCACAGAACCACTTTGGTCCAGTTCTCCGATCAGCACCAGGTTCATCTGTTAGATTTGTGAGCAGCTCGGTGAAATGATCCGAGTGTGTTTTACATTAAACTGTTCAGGTGTGCAAACGGCCACGTTACACCGTGTGTAAACTGACAGATGTTATTTGCATGACTGGCCAAAGGGCAGTGAGACCAGAAGACAGATTCGGCTCCACGCAGCGTTTCCTTCATGTTCAGCAGGATGGCTGCTGCGGGCGCTGAAAACCGAAGTGACACGCAATTCACTCAGTTTGAAGAATCTCCTGCAAAAATGTGTCCACGGAGAAACTTTTAAAGGATTATTTGTATTTGTGGAGGTAATGATAATCAATCACAGCGGCGCATAAAGTTTATGAAGGTGTAATTCACTACAGATGACAGAAAAACTGCAAAAGTTCAGATATGGATGACGTGTTTGGAGGATATAATAATAATGATGCCATCAAATATGCTCACATGACCAAATCACACATTACTCCAAGTCTGCTGCAGGCAAAACAGGAGGAGCATTAAATCTGATGTGTGTACGCAAAAGTTAAATTTACCACATTGTAAAAAAAATAATACTACAATATACTTCAACTAGCAAAAGTAAAAATGCTGCTTCTTCAGTGGCTGAATGCATAATGTCTAATGTTGCAGTTCTAACAGAATTTAAACGCACTCTTCACATTCATCTCATGTATGTAAAACACTCCAGTTTATCTGTACACTTCTGCAGAGTGACTAATAAAGCTGTCAGAAAAATATAGCGCAGCAAAAAGTTCAATAATTCAGCTCGACGTGAAGTTCAGACGTAGAGGAAACAACCGGAACTACTTTATTGGAATCAGCCTGAGTACGTTTAAAATACAAACTATGATGACTCGAGAAACAAACAGATGAGAGATGATGAAAGAGTTCAATACAGGAATTATTCAGAGTAATGCTTGTGATTAATCATCTTAGTCACTAAAACAGGGAAAATAATGTGAACCACAAGCAGTGAACACGCATTTATTAGCTGACTCGGCTGCTGGAAGAAGAAGCAAAACTCTGTTTGGAGCTCGTAATATTGATTCCTGTTGGAAACCACACAAAACAAAAAGAGCTGTTTTTAATGTGACGTACCTGCTCCACTACAAACTACTGGGAATGAATGCTGCTATGTTAGAGCCTAGTGTAGAATATAAACATGTCACCATACTGTACTTAGTTCAGTAATGGAAGGCAAGAGACCACCAACCCATTTTTAACAGCAGGAGATTCAATTCAACTTTATTTATACAGCTCCAAATCACAACAACAGTCGCCTCAAGGCGCTATCAATGCTAGCCAGTAGCTAGCTAACAACACATTTGTGTTTTGATTTTGTTTTTTTAAAACTGGGCATTTGACATGTGCCACAGCATCATATGGTGCTTCTGCATGCGCAATTATTGTCTGTAGTTTACCATCATATACCTGTTAGAGAGTCAACATGTTCATGGAGCATCAACAAGCGCACGACTTCATGAGCTCAGGTATGGCTTCACTGCTGAAATTCACCGACTTCACTTATTAAATACAAAGTGAATATAATGCTCATGAGTCTCGCCTCTCCACAGACTAATTACTAATTCAGTTTCAATTTGATTTAATTACTTTTTACAAATACAAATAATTACAAATAATACAGAGAAAACACCAACAATCACATGACCCCCTATGAGCTAGCACTTGGCGACAGTGGGAAGGAAAAACTCCCTTTTAACAGGAAGAAACCTCCTGCGAACCTTACTGCACTGGCTCAGTAAGGGACGGTTGAGGGGAGGGACAAAAGACGCGCTGTGCAAGAGAGCCAGAAGCAGACAACAACTGCTCTAACGAATTTACTGACGTTGTCAAGAAACAGGATTTAATCTGCAAATATCTGAGCAGCAAAACTGCTGCCATGTTTCTGATCCAACTGCCATCCTCAGACTTACAGGAGTTTCTAGATTCTTCCTCAGTATTCTTCATGTACACTGCCTCGCTCTGCGTAGCCTCAAACATGCTTCATCTCTTTTTATACAGTAAAATAAAACCGATAAATTTTAACACAACAGCTGAAGCATAGAAACATTTCACTCACCGACCTGCTGCTCAGATCTGTGGGCGTGGCATTCCTGGAAGACCTGTGGGAACAGAAAAAGATACTCTGATTACCATCTGCTCAAACGAGACCAGATTTAAAGTCAGTACAAACACACTGACCAGCTAGCAGCTAGTTAGCTTAGCTTAGCACTAGCATAGGAAACAAGGGAGGGCAGCTAGCCTCTGAAGCTCACTGACAGCTTTTATTTTAGTGGATTTCTGATGCGTTTCCACTTTCTCTTTAAGAAAATGGTTGCTTTGCTGCATCCATGTTCAAAATCCACTAAAGCTTGTTGGAAAACATTTGTGCTACGAGAGAAATTTACAGATGATGAAGAGAGACGTAGACTTCAGTTTGACCTCATTTTACTTGTTTTTAAGTTTCTGGCATGACGTTAAAAAAGAATGAATACAGAAAATGTTACATCTTATTTAAAGGGCATAAAAACAGCTGCTGCACGTCTCAGATTGTTAAACTCTTCCTGCTGAGCTGTTTTTCTACAGACACCCACACAACAGACACCGAGCCCACAGACGTCCACATCCAGCTTCATTTATGCAGTTTATTAACAAATTAGTTTGTGAGGCCAGTGAGCCACAGCTGTGGAAACACACACACACATATTTTTGTACTGTAAATATAAAATATTTTTCATATTTTTTGACCTGAAGGAAAAACGTTTGGAGAGAAAGAGAGAAATATAAATAAATGAAAGATTAGAATAAACTTGAACTAACAGTTCTCACCACTAAAACCATTTATTCTGACTGTTGCTTCATTAGTAATGAAAGAAAAGCTCTTTGTGAAACTGCACTGTTACAAAACTGCACCTCTGAATTGCATGCCAGGAAATGCTTTTTTTTGTCTATAATGCTCATTTTGCATCACTTCTGGTGGACGTTTACTGTGGGCGGGGCTCAGACAGCTCCGCCCACCCAGCTTAAAAGGTGTTTTCACTCAATAAAAATGTACTGAGCCACTGACATCACATCATTTACCTTGAACCAAAGTAAACAAAGTAAAATGCGAGTTAGGAGCAAACGGCCTGTTTGTTAACTGAAGGTAAGAACAGACAGAAGAAAGGTCTAACTAAGCAAAAATACTTATTTTATTATTATTAATACTTATTATAATTATATCATTATAGAAATTAACAATAAAAGTAATTAGTGAAAGTAAAAACTACCATAAGCACCCAGAACCTTAAAAACGCCTCCATGTCCCTGAGTCAGTTTACAGTTGGAAGCTTTTTGCATATTTGTGTTTTGGGTGCCGGCCTGAACACAAACTGATCTTTATACATGCTGTTTTTTATTATTGTGCTAACCTCATTAGTTGTACCCATCCCGACCTCAGAGACCCTCGGACAGCTCCAAAAGCAGTGTTCAGCGTACCACGGCTTACACTTGGTTCGGTTATTTTTGAGACAGTAACGATGCACCAGCATCTATTTCTGTCATAACCGCCGGTGTTCTGTTTTGGTGAAATATTCTGCACCTCGTGTCTTTGAATCTATGACCGAGAAACCGAGTGAGAGGCTTGAATACATCATTACCAGGCAGCATCATGGCAGACTCGCTGCAGGTCTTTAGCTGAGTTCTAAAGGGCAGGATATTGGAAACTGTGTCAAACCACATGCGAGTCGAGACCTTTATGCAAAGTTAAATTCATTAAGAACGTCTGAACAGGTCCTAACAGGGCTGAGTCCTTGTGACAGACAGACTGAGTCCTATATACGGACATCCAGTCCTCAGAGGGTCAGAAGAAAAAGGTACAAAGATCAGGAGGAACAAAATCCCTGAGGAAATGTCAAAGGGACGATTCATGAGTGGAAGAATCGTTCCACCCACCGGTCACTCTGCTACAAACATGAACACACACACACCGACATCGTCCCATGCAGCAAACTCAAAGCGTGCACTGTTAATAAGGAGGAATGTCACCTCTGGAGTACCATGGGCACAGATATTCTATTTCATTAATCGCTTGTACAGTCATAGTGCTAGACGCACTCCTTTAGACCAGAACAAATCAAACTGTTTTGACAATTACTTACAAGAAACCAAAAACCCTGAAAAGCTGAACTCCAGGCAGCTGAGTGTATCTGAGACGTCTCACTAATGTTTTGCATGCACAGCTACCATCACTCTGAAGCCTGCAGTAACACAAATGTAAAAACTAGAGTAGATTTGGATTTCTAAACTTTGTTCCAGCTACCAGCTACCATCTTACTGTCACACAGACCGTGTTCACACTCAGTCCTTATAGACCAGAGAGATGATTTTAAAACACAAATGCTTCCAGTGCTCTTATTTTATCCAGTGAAAGAACAAATCAAAACCTGCAATTTCCAAACCTCTGGTCAAACCTCGTGCACTCAGAATAAAGTCAATCACAACTTTTAGCCATTATCAACTCGAGGTTCTCCTCCACAAAGCAACAGCTGCTAACGAATGCAGACAGATTGCTTCTGAGCCCAAAGCAAAGCCCAAGAACTTTTCATGCCGTGACATTCACACAAACTCCAGGGAGGAACAACTCGAACGGAATTTATGTTTGTGTGTGTGTGTGTGTGTGTGTGTGTGTGTGTGTGTGTGTGTGTGTGTG